CTCTCTCTCTCTCTCTCTCTCTCTCTCTCTCTCTCTCTCTCTCCCTCTCCCAAACACACAACACATGATTGCACACTACACACACATGCAGCGCAGTGCTCCATGCTAGAGTGGCCTTTTGTTCTCTGTTATAGAGAACACAATATCCAAGTCTCGTAATAGAGGTTAGATTAATTGCTGACAAATCTGTATTCAGCAGTTCCCTTTCTCCCCGCTTGACAGATTTATGACAGAGATTGATGGAGGGGAGGGACGAGCCAAGAGCCGCCTCTGTTTGGGGAGAAAAGAGGACAACAGCTCAGCGAGTCAAATAGAAACAGAGAAAAGAGAGAGAAAAAGACGAACAGGTTTGTTTTGATTGGATCTTACACATGACCAACAATTTTGGCTTTGAGTGTGTAGGAGCCATATAATGTTATATCTAATGCTGTTGTAACGAGATCATTTTATATATTTATCATTGTATTCCTCTCACACTCAATATGTTGATTGTTGGAGTTCAAATGTAAACTCATACATTCAAATAACTCTTTAATTAGCACCAAGAGAAAAAAGCCAATCTCAAAGCCCCTTGCATGGTCATAGTAGAAAAAGCACAGGTGCTAGGCCTACTAATAAAATTAACGATAGCTCTGTTCCATTAAAGTGTCCCCGTAAGTCATGACAAAGTGACAGCAGCCAGCATGCACAACACCCGGCCCCTGAAACTGAAGCAGCTAAGTAGAATGCAGCCATAATTAATTTTAATATTTACACCTGTTCTCTTGAAAAAATATATCAGGTTACTCTGGAAAGCATAGTTTAGTCATCTGTTACATTTATTTATTTGAGCTGAAAATGGAAACCATAAACAGATGAAGATTCATAAGGAACATTTCCAAATTGTGGGAAATGCACATATTTATCTTGCCAGGAGTATGATGAGTAGAGCATCCGTGGTCTGTATGCCATGTTGTTAGCTTAGCTTAGCTTATGATAACGGCTAAGGCGGGAAACAACTAGCCTGGCTCTTTTCAAAGGAAAGTAAATCTGACTACCAGTAAAGCTTACTAATTAACATGTGTTATCTAGTTTGTTTAGTCTTTAAAAAAAAAAGTATGGTAAGAAACTAATCGCAATGCTAGCTATTTTTCCCCTGTTTTCAGTCTTTTGGCTATGCTAGTTAGCTAATTGCTAGCTTTAGATATATCTAGGGTGACCAGGTGCCAACAATCCACATGTGGGACAAAGAGGATGTTTTTGCGGGACAATGCGGGCCATGTTACTGCGTTGCCAAGAGCTAGTTTAGATTAATATATATTTTGGTTTCAGGAGGAATATATCCATAGATCGATATTTTCTTTATGAGCCAGGTGTTTCTCGTGAGTTTCGGGGAAGCGTTGCTTCAAAACATATTCACCTCCGTTTGCAATAAAAAATAAATTCTTGCAAATCTGACAATAACTCTCTGGGAATTGCCCTCCACCGGCTACACCCACATAAGTAAATACATTTCTCTGTTGATTGATTGACATCTGACACAACTAATGGTGATAGCCCTCTCGATTTCTACACACCTTTGGATAAAAGCGTTGTTTTAGACGGGCGACCGTGAATCAAATGTGGGACATCGGCTAAATGTGTGGGACAAATGATAAAAATGCTGTGGAGTCCCGCACAAAGCGGGACACCTGGTCACCCCAGATATATCGCAAATTGGTATTGACATTAATGTTATTAATTACACTTTTGCTTTCCCTAATGTGACAGATCTACTGCACAGGCTATTTAATTAATATTGTATCAGCTGAGAGGCTCCATATTAAAGACATTGCAAACTATTAAAACCTCAATACCCCCAAATAACAGCTAATCATTTTGCATTTAGTGGCAGTCCTGCAAAAAAAAAGCATTCCTGTCTGCATTCCAGCTCCATTTGGCTCTTCAGCTTTCCTTCACAAAAAACCACAGGACCTTCACATGAGCACAAAGGATTTATTTTAAAGCTTAAGTCTTAGAAGAGAGACATTAGGGCTGGGTCCCTCCTCAGCTGATTGGCCCTATGCTGGCCATGAGCCATACTGATGCTGGACCCACATGAGAATAATCAATGCTAACATGTACAGACAAGCTGAACAGTGGGTAAATATAACGTGTATCTGGACTAGATACTGAGATACATTGTAGCGCTACATGAGGGATCCATCACAGTTTAATGGATCAGCCTGATGTTGCTATTTTAATTCAGAGGTTAACAAACCCATCTGAAATATCCTGACCACCTCCCTCCTTCCACCTGATGTCACGGCCAACAGCTCATCTGATTGGTCGAGTCCACAGCCCGCCAGCTGTTTGTAATCAGGAGCATTTGGGAGTTTGGATCACATGACACCCTCAAGGCACACATGCACACATAGATATATACATACAGGGTGCAGTGCATCTTTAACCTCACACCCCTTCCCACAGGCTACTCCTTTGCAGTCAGGATCACCTCCAGATGTGCACACTGTGTTCTCACCTCAGGATAAAATAACGGGGGAGGGGTGCCGCACATGGAGGGGAGGGGTCAGTGCAATGAAAATGAAAAATGGAAACAGCAGGAGGTGGGGAGGAAGGTAAGACAGAGGACAGAGGTATACTGAGACAGAGGTAGACTCCTCATGTTCAGGATCAGGGAATTCATCCTAAAAATCTAAAATTAACCTTTAAATGATGTCTTAATTTAAGTTAAACACACATTAGGAGGGTAAAGTCCTCATAAGGGGAGGTACTTAAAAGGATTGTGACTCTGCTGCCTCCTAGTGGGCCAAGCCATTAAATACATCATTATACATTAACACGTTACTCTCTCACCACAGAGGTATGATGCAAAACGTTTTTTTCCATTTCATTTATTTTTCATTTATACATAATCAAAAATGTAAATACATATACATATAAAACACGTAGAATAATTTTTTGCTCAAGACTAATCATTCAGTGGTTGAAGAGACAAGGCATTGCTCTTACTATGGCTCCGACACTATTAGATTAAGGTTACTGCTGTTCTCAGTGAAAGACTCTCTCTCTTCCTTTTGATTATTTTCTTCTTCTGTCATCCTGACTTTGTCCTCGAAACAGTCACGAGTTTTGTCTAATAATAAAGCTCCACAGAGTGTACAGTTTTCACTTTTATCTACACGTAAAAATGAACAAGAGCTTTGCGACAAACAAATGGTACAAAAGAGACACAGAAGATGAAGTTATATCAACAGCCTGTTCCTCATTAATGCCTTTAAAAGGTCTGTTTTTGGTCAGATTTAAGGTTAAAAATGACTGCACAACAGGAAATGGTTATGTTTTCTATGACAGGAACACATACTGCACAAATATTTATACTCACATCCATCAAAATGTTTGACCCCTCTCGGTCACATGTATATGCAGTAAACCTACAGTATACTGAAGGCATTTAACTGTATGTGTACCATACATTCACATAAACATAATGATTATCAAATCAAGTTTAAGACACATGATGATCAATAAAATGACTTGAACAATTGCTTAATAATAATGTTATTTTGTAAAACACTTCAATTGTCAAGTGTACTCACAATTTTGGAGTTGTATTTTCTCAATTTACACATGTTTACATTCACTCATGTGATTTAGAACATATATATTTACACAATGAATAATCTCTAGTCATGCCATTCATTAGTTTAGTTATGGGTCCACGGACACACACACTTTTCACATTCAAAAGTCAAAGTACATGACAGCAAACACGATGTACTCAACTTTCATACGTGTCTTGGAAGAGGTATTACTGCATGTGATGTTACAGTTAACGATTCCTGTACCTGTGCACTTTGCTTTAAAGTCACTTAAATTAAAATATTGGGGACTATTTTGGAAGTAGCCGTAAAAATGATAATAAAACAGTTAATACATTGATATTTAACTGGACAGTTACATGACTAGATTGATCCATAAATGAATTTATCATATTTTAAATGGATACTGTTAAATATATTGTCCATTTCATATTTTTTCATTCTGTTAAATTTAACGTTAAAGTAAAGATCTATCTTTAAAAAATGTGACTTTAGTAGAATTCAATACCTCCTTTCTGCCCCTATTTTCTGTTAACTTGTTTTAAAAAATACAGTCAAAATTGCCTGATGTAAAAAATGTAAATATATAGTCCTTAATCAGACCTTCCTTATATTGTCCAATGAAGTACCAAACAATAATTTGCTTTATTAGCATTTTCCGGCTCTTTATGTCCACCGTTGAGGACAAACGGGTGTGACATTCACGGTTTATGAGACAACATCCTGATGTTTCCCATCAGACCTCTTCTCTCTTTAAAAAACCTTTGATGGTGTTTAATTGAATTAATTTATTCAGGTGTATTATTCATGTGCTGCATTCTTCAACCTTTCCTTTAGCTCATCTGGCTTATAACAGTATATACAGAAAGCAGAGAGAACTCATTGGAATCTCAAAATAAATAACTGTAATAAATTATTGTAAAATCTTTTGATTGCTTAATAGACTTCTTCAAAATAAAATATAATTTCATAAATTATCTACAGAAAGTGCAACTACAAAACAAAAAAGTATTATTGAAGGTCTTTCATTCACACAGCCTTTCTGCTTCCTTTGGCTCTCCCAGCGTTGAGGTGACACTGGTGTGTGAAGCTCGAAAAGAAAGTGTGACAATGTCATAATGTATCCTTTTAATTGTGTGTAACATTTTCTTTTTGGCATATGTAAAGTGTTCTAGTGTCAACTCTTACCGAACCGTCTTTAGTCCACACAGGGATGGATAAAAAAGGTTGAAGGACCCTGATAACGAAAGAGTTGTGGTAAAGTGGATTTATGGTAAATTATTGCTTAAAAGAAAGCTTACTGCACGCACACACACACACACACACACACACACACACACACACACACACACACACACACACACACACACACACACACACACACACACACACACACACACACACACACACACACACACACATTGCTCTTGTTTCCCCTTGAACATAGGTAATCCAAAGTGCCTTGCATGAGCCTTCATGAACTCTGAGGTAAAGAAATAAGAAAGTACAGTAACACTGGACAGATGTTCTGTAGAATGACCTCGTACACAGTCATTAGCCAAAGACAGACATCCATAAAGGAAAAATATTATACCTCAAAAACATGTTTTGGATGCCGCTGCTTCAACTGAAGTCGGTCTTCTAACATTTACACTTTTCAGTTTACAACATCACACAAAACTGACACTAAGTCTTGTGACCCAAAAGAAGATTTAGCTATGTATTACTGAACCTGCAATGTATTTCTAAAATCTATCAAATAGTCAACCATATCATCACTGTTCAGATTTAACACACTCATGGCACATTAAATAAAAAGACACAGTAGATTTAAGGTATGATGACAGATAAACCTACTTAGTTTAATAAGAAGAACCTGGTTTGTTTTTAAAGTACAAGTTACTCTCTGTCATGAAGCCTAGCTCAATGTACATGGGTGGAGTGTTGCTTGTGATGAAATTAAGAAAAAAGGGAGTAGAGAGGTTGTTCTTGTAATCATTGTGTGTGTGTGTGTGTGTGTGTGTTCTTCTATCTTTGTGAGGACCAAATGTCTTCTACCAATTTCTATTAACAGTGGATCCAATTTTGCAGCAGCTTACTGGTAGCCCATTTACATTCATATTTACAAGTAGTTTAATTACTTGTTGGCTATTGTTCTGTGAGTAGTTAACTACTGAAACTACAAACACATTTTGACCATAAAATGACAGGGAGGATTTTTTCAATTAAATTCTAAGATTGCTTCCCTACTTCTATGTCTGTGAAGAGCAGAGGAGTATTCAGTTGGTTGCACTAAATGCACCACATCTTGATCTTTAAACTAATGCAGTTAACACTCAGTCTGCCCTTATCAATGTAAATGGGATGGACAAAATAATAGAAACACCTGTGAGTGTAATGCACCACAGACTGCAGCAGATGACCATACGTTTGATTTCATTATTTTCTGAAACAAAAACTGAATAATAGAGAATCATCAAGGTAGGATTTATTGCCGGACTGTTGAATATGACTGCATTAGTTGGACATTGCTGTACCTAAAATAACTGGATATATTCCTGCTTTTTATCTGTGCTAGGGTTCAGTTCATGGCTTTGGCTGGTTCTTGTATTAAATGAAAAATCCACCGTACAAGATCATTTATAACGACCTAATTTATTGACTTTGGGTTGTGAAGTTGATCTATAAAGACAAACAGCAGCCGTGTCCCCACGAGTAAATAAAAACGGGCTGACATTTCTAGAGACAGCACAGTGACACTGACTAACTGGGGCTGTTTGAGATGTTACATCCGAATGAGATTGAAATAAATGCACGACTTTTAGGTGTGAATCAGCAAATGTCCTGTTATCTCAGTGAAACCACCATGGCTGCCAGCAGCTGTGACTGTATCCTCCATTATTTACTGTCACTGTGGATGGAGCAGCTCCAGGACATGTCTGTAAATTATCAGATATAAATGAATTCAAACAGAGCTATTCGATATTATGGAATTTTCACAGGTGATTGCTGCTGTAGGAGACAACGCCTTTAAGTTTCATCCCTTATATCATCCTTCAACCTCAGAACCAAGAGAGGAAGCTAACGGCAGAGTACAGGCCAGACCTTAAAGGCTTTCTTCCCTGTGTGGTTTAGTGAAGCTGGAAGTAGACGATGATGGATGAGAATTTGGTTTCCTTTAGTTAAGATGGTTAGAATGAGTTAAGCGCTGGCTTTTTTTTAGGAAGGTAAGATTGTGAGCATTATTATTCACCTCACAAAGATAGAAGTACACGTGTCTACCTTTCCTTGTCTGTGAGCTTGTGGACAGTATGTGTTGTGGGTAGCTGGTGGAAATCATTGAGACTTGTTTCAAAGCAGCCAAATTGCAGTGTCCTGAGGTCCAGAACTACATTCTGCCAGGACTTCGGACATCTTTCATTCGTCTATGAAGGTGATCCCGTCAATCCTGCAGAGTAAAAACAATGGCATTAGCACAGCACAGAGCACATTTGAACTGTTAGCAGTTGGAGCAACAATTGCAAAGCACAGAAGAAGTGAGTAAACCACAATGTGCAGCAGGAATATTTCCAGATGACAGGGTGAGGAAAGAGAGGGTATGGCCTTGCCTTCTTAGCAGCCACAGGATGAGTGTCCTTTTGATTGGAGTTGAGGGATTTCCACACGGTGGTTTTAGACATTTCATCAGATATATTAATATCAGAGGGGTCAGACCTGAGGAGCGGGGAGAGGAGAAGAAAAGGGAGTTTGTAGGGAGAGAGTACGGGTTTAGGGAGAGGTCCCAGTGTGGTAGTTTTCACAGGGTGAGGGAAAGCAGAATGCAACACACCAAACAACCCAAGCATGCATGTAGATAGACAGGAAGGGGAAGCCGTTATCTTACCACTCTGAATCTCTCATATCCATCCTGTCCATTTGAGTGTGTGTGGGGTTGTGTATGTGTGTGTTTGCTCACCTGGGGTCATGTGCTTTTGGGGTCTGGACAGGCTTCCTGCTCTCCATAGGAATCTGAACAGGAGCTGTATCATCCTTGTTCGTATTGAGCATTTCCTGTGATTCCTATAAGACAGATCCATGCCACATGTTCAGTCAATGTGCATTTTTATTTATTTCCCTCTCTGTATCTCAAGATCCCATTTAGTTTACCTCTTCTATCGTTTTGGTGGCATCATCAAGGTTTTTCTTCTTCCAGTCAGGCATAAGGTCATCCAGATAACTCAGCTCTCGATCGGAGAAACACCAGTCCAACATTTTGCGGATGAAAACTAGAGCTAGCACCTTCAGGCACAGAAGAAGAAAAACATTTTATTTTAATAGGATTAAATGGAGGGATTAGCAAAGAGAAATAAGGTATGTGGGCAGTGGTTAACTCACCATCATGGGGAAGACGATAGCGGCAGGTGAGTGCTTGATGACCCAGAGCAGCACCAGACAGGTGAGCTGGGTGAGAGTGAACAGGTGCACCTTCCTCAGGGGGACGTGCCGCAGGTAGATGAAGTCCGGCTGGTGCTTCGCCGGCATGCCAAACAACTTCAGACGGTCAAAGAACTGAGAAGTGAACGCAGGTGGTGGGGAAGTTAGAGAGGGTAAAGGAGAGAGATACATTAATGGGAGCAGAGCAGAGAGACAGATGGTGAATATGGCAAGACAACGAAAGTGATTATAAATGACGAATTTAGTTGGATTAGTCTGACAATTAACCGTCAGGCCTCATTGAATTGCGACACAATTAATTAGGTGAGGAGAGGGCATCCCATGGACAGCAGCCACATTAATACAAAATGTGGGAAGGATATGCCAAAACATGAAAATGGGCCATTTGTTATTTAAAGTACATATTTGCATCTTGCACATAAGGGTTTGGATCATATGGACAAATAGACAGTCCCATTAACTAGGGGTGCCAAAGTCAAACCCAATTTTCCTCATCCTGTAAATCATTTTTACCACATATTTATGTATATATGTCATATTCCACATTACCTGTATACCCTTTAGTGAAGAGACTCCCATATAAAGGAACACACCGTACAGCACTGGCATAGGAATGTACTGCGGTGGAAAAAACAAAACATTCATCATTCAGCGTTGATGAGTAACATTATTTAAAAGCCATCCCAGCCACAGGGGGGCAGCATTGCACAGCCTCTCTGACTGACCTGTAGGGCTCCGGTCATGAACACAGAGCAGCCCATGAGCAGGAAGATGAGCAGGCCAGTCAGCCTCTGCTCTCGGATGCCCAGGAAGCGAGGCATCTCTCCGGGAGCCGAGCTCTCCGACTCCAGCTTTAGGCTGTTGACGTGAGAGATGGACAGCACTGTGGCTGCTACGAACCAGGGCAAGCCCATGATGGAGCAAACTGCCAGCATCACCCCCACCATCAGCAGGTCCAGGTGGTACCCACAGCCCTTCTGCAAAAGATAGGTACATGTATAACTAAGCTACTAAAGTCGGTGGTCCCCTACGTGTATTGGGGTTACAGATGAGGTCCAAAACTAGCAAGCCACATGAATGTCTGGGAGCAATTCATTTTATATGCTACACAAATATGCAGGGCCGCCGCTTGCGGACAGGCAAGGCAGGCAACTGCTTGGGACCCCGGACCAGAAGGGGGCCCCGGACCAGAAGGGGGCCCCCAAAGAAGGTAGACTAAGAAGGTCCACAGCTACGACAACATGAAACACCCTTTAATTTACTGCAACGACATGTCGGGAAACCCCCTCAAGGCGGCCCCATGCATAGCGCGCCGTAAAATGTGTGGGGTGTGCGTGGTGATGAAAAGCTGGTTCGAGGGGCTCCCAGTGAATGCTTGCCTAGGGCCCCCACAGACTCTAGAATCGGCACTGCAAATGTGTCCAGGATCCATAACATTTTCGGAATATTGGGTTGCAGATTAGTATTTTCCAAAGGGGGGTTCGTTTAGCATGAACAACTTGAAATAACTAAAGGATAAGTTAAAAAAGAAAGTAAACAGAAAGTTAACAATGATTGAGAGTCAGACCTCAACATTTCAGATGTGTGTATCTCACACTGCACTGTAACTTTAATGCATTTAAAGAATATTTAAATATTTGTTATTCATGTTTTTTATCTTTGCTTTTAAATTAGTGTTTTTAAATACCATTTTATAGTGTGTTTCTTAATGCTCTCAATGTCTTTCATTTTTGTAAAGCACTTTGAATTGTCTTGTGTTGAAAGGTGCTCTATAAATAAACTTGCCTTGCCTTACAGCTGAAAGCAACAGTGCAGAAATGCATGCTTATGGGGAAGCTTTTTGTTCTTCCTACCAGCAGTTTGTGCTCTTTGCGGTTGATGATGACGGCAGTTATCTGTTGGTCCATGAAGATGAGGATGGTGCAGAGAAGAGCAGGGATGGATGCAGCCAGGACGGTCCACCATGGGTTGCGTCCTATTGGATTGATTAACCAACCTCGGTCGTCTCTGGTCGGCTGGAGGATCACATTAAAGAGGAGTGAGTCCATGATTCAACCATAGCAATGTTGTGTTTTATATCAAGGTCCACATTATGATAATAAAACATATATACCTTGAATTTGTTGGGCACCTTCAACTTCTGGGAGGGCACTCCAATGGCATAATCAAGCAGAACCATGACGGCAATGGTGAGGAAAACAGCAAAGTCGCTGATCATGGAACGCACCTGGGAACAGGAGACAACACCCAGAGAATGGTGGTTATTACTGTGGCATGGTTTATTTTTGCAGGCCATCGCCCACCCTGTTAGGAGGACTACATTTACTTTGTAGGTAGGGTTGAATAAAATGACCTAGAGTGCATTGTCAGGTATGTGAATGTCTGGTGACAACTTTGATTAGAGAGCAATCATATTGGTTAATTACCTTGGTGGGGAAATAACGACTTGTCTTAAAGTCTTTGAGGAACGCAGACATTAAGAAGGTCGAGAAGAACAAGATGGTTGACCAAAAGAGAACATCTGGGGTGTAGGGGCCATGGGGGCCACATGACGTCCCGACAAATTGGCCATTCAGACTGATACACTCCTGTAGAGATTCACAAAGGGTTAACACATATTCAGATTACTTAAGAAAAATGATCAAAGCACAAAAAACACAATACAGTAGAATCAACACAAGCCTTTTGTACACATCAGTGGACAGTTAATCAGTTGAATGTCCTTGTCAGTGTTTGCAGTGTCCTTAAGAGAGGTCAGCTGCTGCAGGGAAGGTGAGGGGGTTAGTTGAATGTTAACAAAGGCACAAACGTTGGAGCGAAAGCAGTGTTTGCCATCACGTGGAAGTGACACTGAGATCAGGCCCTGATGTTAATGTATGTGTGTGTTTCCACATAGTCACGGTACCTTGACAGTAAGGTTGGTCCAGGATAGGGCTGAGGCTGTGACGTTCCTCTCACTCCACAGATCTAAGGTTTTATTAGTGGGGTTGTCAGGCTCTGCGCACCTACAGCTACACAGAGAGAGAGACAGCACAACACACGAGGAATCTGAGTGTTTTTCTTACAGAAAATGATGGGCTTGTTTGCTTTTCTCCCTTTAATGAGGCCAGACATAAAGGGAATTGTAGGCTTATAGAGGACAACAGCAAAATGTGACAAAGAGACGACAAGGGCGAAACCACAACTCATAGAGATGCTTGCAATGAGAAAATGACAGCTATATATTATTAAGGAACAATAAAAAAAGACATTGAACAATGACAAATCTACCAGGTGAGCTGGCTTATGAACATGTTGTAACTTACTACGCAAGAGTTAGTTTGTTCAGATCACTTTCTGCATTAAAGGGGTAAACCTCTCCCAGGTGGATGAGCTTCTCCAAGGCCTCGTAGATGAAGATGAGGCAGATGAGGGCGGCAAAGGCCTCTTCTGTGAACCGAGTGATGTAGCACACCAGAGAGCTGGCATCAGTGGCAACCAACAGCAAACAAAGCAGAGCCGTCCACAGGCCGATGCAAGTCCTCAGCGACAGATAGGAAAGGTCGTAGTCCCTGATGTGAAGACAAGAGAGGATGAAAGGGAATACATAATCGTTGAGATCAGGACAGCACCTGTGATAATGAAAATGTCAGGTTGTAATACCTACTTGCAGAACTTGAAGAGGATTTTCTCAAAAACCAGCACAGGACCCGTGCTGCCCAGAATGGTGAGAGGCTGACCAGCAAACACAGAGTAGGCTACTCCAGTCATAGACGCACCAAGTAAGGACTCTATGGCACTCTACAAAACAAAGCAGAACAACAAAGTGTATTTCTCATATTCTGAATCTAATCACATTGCAATGAGTGTTTTTGAGTGTGTTTGTGCTCTTACGATGCGTCCCTCTGTCGCCTCCCCCAACAGACCTCCGAAGGTGATGACAGGAGACATGCAGGCACAGTAGAGGAAGAGGAAGGAGGCCACACACTGCAGGCTCATACCGTCCTTAAAGTCACTGAGGTAGAATGGAGCTTTCCTCTTGATGTCAAGTATCAGACCTCCAAACAACCTGATCACGGCACAACAACAAAACAATAGAGGGGCTCAAATTTCACATCTGGTGCAGAGGTACCAAAACCACCGATGGGTGTGGTCGGGTGCTCTGAGGCAACTGTAACTAAGGTACCTTGTAAACAACGGAAAACCTGCATATGTTTTGGTTTGTTCAGCATTTTCAAAAAAGAGAGGAAGAAAAAACAAAACATCACTTCATCAAGGTGAAAAGTTAAACCACTGGGGATACGCAATAAACTATAAACTGTTAGTGTTTTAGGTTATCACACTTGTCATTTGCTTGCCCCACCTCAGTTTCTAACAAATCCACATTTAGTTTTGGCGGCCACAGAAACTGACAGACATGGTGGGGAGTGATAACTCAGCAGGCTTTCACACGTCACTCAGAAAACATAACAGGTGCTAAATCAATGTTATCCCAAGGCTGTTTTTACAACATCATATCCTCATCTTCCAATTTTCTTTCCATCTTTCTTTTGGAGTTTGGCTTTTGTATTTCAAATGTATACAGTAAGGGCAATTAGCACCATTACTGAAGCAACAATCCTGTGTGATTAACCTGCACATGACAGCTTACCTTCCAGTTCTCTGCAGCTCTGGCCCGTGGTGCTCAGCGTGAAGTTCTTCTTCTACCTGGCTGGATGTGCCGTTAGGGACTCCTGCCATCTTTCTCTTCTCCTGCAGACATCCAATAACAGACATAATCCAATAAGACAAATAAAAAATAGCTTGACGCTTGATGCATAAGTATACACCCACTCTTGCACCAAATCAAATTTGTAGCTTGAACCTGAGGAGTATTTGTATATATTTATTTATTTAAGAAGGGACAATGCAGAGAAGTAAGTCGTGTTGAGATCATAGTTGTGTACCTGAGAGGGCACACTCTTTGGGGGCTCGATGCGGATGGAGGGGTCCCACTCTCCTGGTGGTAGGACCGTCACCTGGTCCAAAAATTCATCTATCCCGGCCAGCAGGTCACTTCTGTCCTTTGCCTTGTAGGCTACATCATGGAAGATCTGGTTCCAGAAAAAAAGTAAAGGACAGAGTAAACTTAACTGCCTGCCATCGCAACACAGATGTTAGGATTGTATTCGCTATGTGAGGGTTTCTGGAGTTGTAATTTAATGAGCGTTCTTACCTCATCTGTCATGATGGTTGCCATGGAGCGTCCAATTTCATGGTATTGCTGAGCCTTTCCATCCGGGCCCAGCAGAATGAAGAGGAACCTGACATTTAAAAGCAGATGATTTAAAGTATGGAAATCATCCTGGGTTATTGACTTCACAAATGATATGACTAAACTGTTGTATATGTGGCTCTACCTGGTAGGAATGGGGACCTCGGTGAGCCCGGTGAGCAGCACAGCAGGGGAGAGGCGGACAAAGGCCACAATGGGCCTCTCCAGGAAGTCCAGTTCTCCCACCAGTACATTAGAGGCCTCTGCACCCTCTGGGATCTTCTTCATGAAGTGCATGTCCACCTGGTGAGACAAGGCAGAAGTTGATATCGGTACACTGATATCACTGTATACTATAACCAAATCCAGTGCTCACAGAAATGTCTTCAATCAATGTCTCCAAAAGTGTTATATCAAATTCCCCCACCATAGGAGCAGCCTAATGCCAGAAAATCTAGCAAGCATTGCAGTCCTAGAATTATTCAACTTTACAGATATGCAATCCCTGGTGAAAATTAAGTGGGTGTGATGCACTTTGAACATATTTAGTTATCTTGTGGTTTCATATTGGGCAACTTTCACTTTCCTTTTTATTGTGATTCTTTGAGCGGAATTTAGCAAAATAAATATTCATTTTTGGTCTTCACAGGCTTCCATCCATATCCATAAACAGTGTGCAAACTGTACACGTGTAAGAGTGTCTGCATGTTAACCTTGCTGAGGTCCACATGGCTGTCCTGCCCGCCCCCGTTTTTGGCAATGTCGGTAGCTGATGGAGGCTGGGGAGATGTGGCTGACCCTGCTAGATAGTGAGGGTGTGAGATTGTAGCAAATAAGAGTTAGTACACATATCTTTTGGTCTCCAGAGTGCAGAGTGAAGTAAACTAAGTGCAATAATGGTTTACAGCCAATATAGCCCATTTCCTCAGGAACAGGTTATAGCTGTCTGTCCCTTGAAGTATTATGTATCTCTGTTAAAATAATCAAGCTTTTCTATTCGTCTCAATGTCACTTTTAGTCTCATCGTGTCAACTTTTATTACCTACTTTTTCTCCATATATTATTCTGATAGAAAATTGTATTTCTTAGTCTTTCCAATTGATGAAATCTCATATTTCTAAGATATTGCCCTGATTATTTAGCCATATTCAAGTCATTCTTGACAGTGGATATGTACATAATGAATGAATGAAACATGTGTTTGCAAGGTGGTGTACGGTGTGAAAGCCACCTGTCAGGAAGGGCTCTGACTGTTTGCGGGTTCCCTCAGCGATAGAGCGCACCATGGGCATCAGGTTCTTCTTCTTATCACTCTGGTGGTGGTGTCTCTTCAGCAGAGCCTCACGCACCTTCACTCTCACACTTTCGTCCATTTCATTGGACGTCTCCTGGTGGTCCAGCACCATGTCTGCAACATGCGGACAAAAACACAAACACATGCTCACTTTGATGAACGAAAATGTCACCAAAGTTAGTATATATGTTTTGTTGCCGGATAGCCTTTGTTGGAGATGACAGTGTTTAAAAGGGAAGACAGAGGAGATGACATGCGTACATGGTTCCAAACCGGATTCGAACCTGGTTCCTCCGCACAGGGACTGAGCCCCAATACATGCTGCCAGCTCTACCAGGTGACTTATACGTCAGCCCGAAAATAAGACTTTATTAAATGAAAAGCATCAGACAGCTTTTATTTGTATGTATGTGATTGTGCTATTTCGACCAGAATCTTGAAACCATTTATTATCAATGAGATATTATGCACTGATCAATCTTTCTTAAACTATGAAATATTTGCTTTTTATTTATATTTCTGTAGTTAAAATTGAATAATTTGTCAATGTTTTAAGGCACACTGAAGCAGAAAGTGAAAGTTGGCAGTGGTCAATATGTGGCCAGCTTTCAGGCCATGTGGGACTGCAGAGGATAATCTCCATCTCTCTCGCTCTCTCCTCCTTCCTTTTTGTTCATACTGACTTGCTGAGTCCGCACTGAATCTTTCCTTCCTCCCTTCCTTCCCTCCTCAACAGTCAATCAAAGTGTCTGCCGACACACACAAACACACATTGCAGTGCTTGCATTAATTCTGAGCACACTTCAAGGCCAGCGCTAATGTGTGTCAGGCTTTGAGCTAGGCCTACATGTTAATAAGGACAGTGACAAGGGAACCGCCTGAAAGCAAAATCAAAACCCACAAAAGTCAAATGGTTAATCTAACGTAGCCTCCACTCTTCTTAGATTGATATGGATCGTGTTCCGTCTAATTTAAGACCACAGCAACAGCTCTGCCTCCTCCAGTGTATCACTAGACTGGTGACCATACATTACTCATATGACAATGAGATCCATTCAGTCATGTTGAAAACACTGGTCTATGGATTACAAAATGCATTCAATGCAACTTCAGGCATTTTCTATAACAGTCCCTTGGTCTCAGATTGCCACACTTGAAAATCAAATCATGTTAAGAATTATGGACTTTTTGGTCACCACTCTTTTTCCATCTTGGCGGCTGTTTGGAGGCCAGGTGCTGCTGGCAGGAGTCATATGGAGAAGAGAGGGAAGTGAGAGGAGCAACGGAGAGCTGCAGAAGAGGGAAGACTGAAGGGAACAAGGCTGTCCACGCTGTAAAGCTGTCATAATGTGACCGTGAGGAAGACTGATGGAGGGCCTTGAACCGTGTGATCTTTTGTGCGCTTGTGTTAGTGTGGCGAATGGACAGGGAAGTGGATCATCATTTACAAACCATTCTTTGCATTTGTACAATTCTGTTTCATGTTTACATTTAAACTGTGTTCAAATGTGTGAGCGTCTGTGTTAATGTTTGCATTTGTCTATAAATCACCTATACAACATTCAGATTGTCAGAACGATTGACTTACAAGGCCGGTGCTTAACCAATTGTATGCTTTCATGCAAATGACTTGTGCATAGTTATATGCAAATGAGCTTGAACTCTGGCAGCTTTATCTAATTGTAGATTTTTTATGCAAATCAGGTTCAACACAAGTTCAGCTGCATTATATCAGGAAAACAGAGCGACCATACAGTTTGCTCAGCTTAGTATCTAGGACTTGACTTTATGTATGGACACAGGCCAATGATTCATCATTGTTGAATGATTGTATACTCTATATAACACACTAATATTGCCATATCTGATTTACTGTGTGGAGATTTGGGGAAACACGTACAAAACCAACCTACAGCCGTTATGCACATTACAAAAAAGGGCTATAAGAGTTATCAATAATGTTGGATATCTTGAACACACTAATGTATTATTTTTGAAGTCACACATATTGAAGTTCACTAATCTGGTTACATTTAAAACGGCACAAATCATGTACAGAGCAAGACATAATCTACTTGCTAGGAAATTAAAAACATTGTTCATAGACCGAGAGGGTGGGTATAATTTGAGAGGAAATCTACATTTTAAACAACTCAAGGTCAGAACAACTCTGAGAAGTATGAGTATAATGGAATGGTTTGGAGCAGGAGTTAAAACAAAGCACAAGCATAATTCAGTTTAAAAGGATGTACAGAAACACTTTTTGGGAAAACTATGAGAATGAAGAGAGGTGACTGAAGATGAGAAATTATTGTATATGTATGTATAAATGTAAATGTAAGTAGGAATAACTTGCATAATGACTTAAAGGACAATCATTGATCAAGTAAGGGGTGGGAATTAATAAGCATTTGCTTCCTCCTACTCCCTTTCGGACACATATGATTTATTATTATTAATATGAAGACTTTTTTTGTTGAATATATAAATATTATCGTGAATGTGGATAAATACTGTATTTTAACAATACGATATTCTGTTTTTCACATTTGTTATTTTTTATTTGTTATTTTTTTTAATCTGTTCGAAATAAAGATTGAAATGAAATGAAAATGAAATGAAATTATGTTTATGTTTTCATCTCAAGATAGAAATTAAAACTCTTATATGACTGATCATTTGTTTGTCTAATTGTGTTTCTTCATCCAGCAGGATGACAATGCTCCCTACGGGCCTGAAATGTGTGTGTGTGTGTCTCCTCTCTTAGGAGGATAAATGGATTAATAGGAGTTATCCAGCGGGCATCCCGACTCAGAAATAGAGCCTGGTTTGTATCAATGACAGTTATATTCACTCAAGGGCATGAACTGACTTTAGAGAGCATAGAACTAAGAGACAGGAGAACAAATTGTTGAATCATGAATCCATTTGAATAAGCGACACCATTCACTTGACTCAACAACAGAAAAATGATTTCTTATAATATCCGAAGAATTGTCAGACACAGCTTTCCTTTATCTCTGGGAATAGACAGCAGTCTGGCACTGAGATGTTAATAAGCGTCAGTCGGAAAAATTCTCACCTGCAATCTCTTCGATGCTGTCAGCGTGCATGTCAAGCAACACGGTGCCATTGATGAGGCAGCTGCGCAGCTCAAACAGGCTGTGCAGGGAGAGAGTAGCAACATAGGGCTTGCTCCACCTCTCCCCTCCATCCTCCACATCTTCCTCAAACTTCAGCCACCTGCGAGGTAAAGACAGGCGAGACGTTTGCAAGTGGGAGTAAATGTGAAAGACACCTTTGTCTTTCATTTAAATTGTATCTTTCAAATGTCTTACAATTGTAATGCTTTTAAATCTAGGACAGCTCAAGAGTGTTCCTAGGCCCATAACTTTGACCCACTTTATCAGTTTGTACTGACCTCACTGAGCACAGGCCTGCAACCTTGGGCTGCTGTGCTCTCAGTGTCTCCCTGTTCCTGCCTGCTGGCCTCAGCTGATAGAGGTGTTATAGTGCTTTGCCTGTTTTATCTTGGTATGCACAATGTTGATTATTCTCTCAGAACTAGCTACATACATGGGTCTGGGGTAGAGATCTTCAGAATTGGTTTGGCAACCGCTGTGACACCTCGTGGCACAGCACGTCTTGTGATATTTATTTAATCAGCAAGGTTGTTTATCTTTTTTTGATCGTTTATATTAGGACATGTTGAAGGCTAGTGAAGATATCACGATTTGAATTTTTTTTTTAAATGAAAAAAAATGAACACATTACTAAGAATAAACAAAAAAAGAATAACCAATACCTAAGATGTATCACAAATCCCTCTCATTGGCTATGATTATGTATTTTTGTTTTTTAAATGTTACTCCTACACTTCGCTGTGAGTAAGTTGCTTTCATGTTGGCCTTTAGTTTTACATATTTTACCCTGACTACATCCTTTCGTCACAGGAAAGGTGTTTTCATGTACCGTAAATATCAACCACAGAATATTAGGGACAGGTTTGACATTATTGACTTGATTAGCATGAATGTTTTGTATCCCCTCTTCTCTTTTACCTCGAGCTAACTGACTTAAATCCACTAAGCTTTACATTTACTACCACTTGTACAAGCCTCTCTTGGTCACAGTACAGCTGCTGGGCTGTCAGAAATGTTATTGCTAAGCTTTTTTGCCAACAGCTCCCGGAGGAGACCCTGACCTGGCTGTTTCCTTCCACTCAGCATCCTTGCCGTCCTTCACACAGATTTCATCCAGCTCAGTGAAGAGCTCGTGGGCCACATGTTCAGCATCCTCCTCTGTGCCCAGAATGAACTGGACCCGCTGGGACGGCGTGTCTGAGGAAGGGAGAGGATTTGAGGATGGAACAAATGGTTAACTGAGGTTCTCAAAAACACTTTCACAAGCACAAACAACACTGTTTACTTTGTCATAGTGTGTCACCTAAATGACCACTGGGTCTATAGAATCACACACTAGTCTACCCAAGCACATGCACACACACATGCAACTTGCTGACTAGTTCCTGCTCTTTGGTTTCTAATTAGTGGGCTTGTCAATTTTAGCCAGAGGCTGTGTGTGCAAATGGGTGAAGTCCCCACAGTATTGACAGGCGTTGTATAGCAACAGTTACCTCCTCTCTGGGAGGTGGAAGTATGCACACACTGAACCATGACAAAAAGTCTATTTTTGTTTCTCTCTATGTTTAATGATTGAATGAGTCAAAACATGACTGTATTTGAAAGGGAAATGAGTTGCCTTAGAAGAGGTTGTATACAGTATGTGTATTACCATGACTGGCGGAGGCCGTCTCACTTTCCTCACTCTGATTTGTTGCGATACTTCCTGCCCTTTTGTCTCTCTTGCGGTGGCGGGAGCCGTGGGTCTTGTGGTGGCGGTGGCTCTGTCTGGGCATCCGAACCCCCACAAACAGAGCCCTGTGACCTGACAAAGAGGCAAGGGAAGAGATCTGACTTGTATCACTGTGTAATACTTTTATACACATTCATGATGTCATCATTTACTGTAAAATAATCATTTGCAACTAAAGTTTACCTTAAAAAATGATGTTCAATAGATAATTGTAAAAAAAACATGAAACATCATTGTAGTGATGTTTATGAACATACAGATCCTGAAGGGTTCAGTAACAAAGAAATTATAGAAAAAAAACACAGTCTTTTACTTTGACTTCCCAGCAACAATAAAACCCTGGTACAAACATTCCTAATTAGTTCACATTCGAATTTCCCTGCACTATATGCTTGCTTTAGACATCTTCTGTTCATTTTTTTATAACGTATGACGGCAGTTAGTCCCATATAATGTCAAATATGTTTTTCTGGTGTTCTGATGAGATTATACTTTTTTTTTACAAGGATAATTTACCTATCCAGATTGAACAGCTGCTAATGGTGGGAAGCAGATTTGATTAAGGTGTACTTTCGTCTCCGCTCAGATGGTTAAATTGAATCAAAGTGAAAGTCATTAAACTGAGGGTTAGGTGTTATCTCAAAGCGGAGAACAAATGCTGTGCCTCAATGTTGGTACTTGCACTTGCCCGCTATGGCATCCTGATTATTAATTACTACAGCCAAAAAGTCTGAAACGATGGACCAGAAAAGTCCATCCTCAATGATCGCCAACTGCCGGTTGCTCCATTAAACACAGCAATAAAAGTTGTACATGTGTTTTTTTTTCACTATATTTAATACGCGTACCATTGCACTGATATCGAAAATGGAAGCCATGATCAATCTGTGAATTGATTATTCTTTAATGACATTGACTTAGTACTGCAAACAAAAACGTAGCTAGCTAAGTACTGTGATTGTCCCTTCCGGCTGGTGCACGGCAGCAGTTTCAGATTTTAGTCAAGGTTAGACGTCAAAAGTATAAAATGTGTTCACTGTATTATAGGTTACTACATGGCAGTTCAAGGGAAGTGTCTGAATTGAGAAACACACTTTGCTACCTGTTCCTTATTACTCCTAACCTCTGCCATCTGTAAATAACTCCAGTGCACTCAGTGTTGAATGTGAGCAGGATAACAAAAGAACAGGAGTTTCACTTAAAAATCAAAGCTGAAACCATTTGAAATAATCACAGAAATACTCCACACATACTTTTGAGTGAAGGGTTTGACAATGTATTCCACCTGTCTGTGCTACTCACCTTCTAGTTCCTCCTTCTCATAGTGGATGTTCAGTACTGAGCTGGTTCCTCCCTGGTCTACCACCACCTCCTCATCGGGCCTCTGATGGACACACACAGACGCACATACACATGTAAGTAGAATAGGACTGTTCCTTTCTTTAATGATGTTCACAGCAGATGACACGTGTCTTTACAACACTTTACATTTTGGAAAATGTAAAACATATTCGGCCTTTCAAGATCAGTCCGTGAAAAGAAAACTGAAAAGGTCATTAAAACCTGCCAATAATTGGCCAAGCTGGCAATAGATTTTCAACAATGCGTTTCAACACACACACACACACACACACACACACACACACACACACACACACACACACACACACACACACACACACACACACACACACACACACACACACTAGTTGGAGAAGGTGCTAGACTCCAATATCGAGGGGAAAATCAAATCAAATTAGCGGAGAGTCACTTCCATCAGACCTGCTGCTGTGGGCAGACTGCTGCAGGATGTTGTGTGTTTCACTATCCCAGTGATGAAGCGTTGTCAGAAGAGTTATTTTTGCAAGTGTTAGTTGCATAGTCATGTATTGGCCCTATGAGGGCAATGGGCTGCAGGCACCTCCTCAGTCACTTTGGAGCTCTACACTGCCGCAGTGTCTCTGTTTTTAGGATATCAATTCATCTGTCAAGTGCATGCAACATTTAATGTTTCATTTTTAATCTCTGTGAACCTCCCACATGCTGTTAAAGATGCTATACAGTACCACTACATGAGAAGGACTAGGTCCAATCGTTTTCTGGCAGAAATCTAGACACGGGTAGGATGATTGACATACATCTGAATGTTGCATTAGTTTGTAAAGGTTGGCTACAGTTATTATTCTCAAAAGATCATTTTAAGTTTTAAAAATAAAAACTCTAAATGTTGTTCTTGTTATTTCCTGTTGCACTGTGCATGACCTCAGTTGATAGGAAGTAAAAATGGACACAAGCTGTTACCTAGCAATGAAATCTCGTTGAAACAGTATATAGCTATAATCTATAAATACAGGCAAATTATTAAAGGAGAAACACCAGTCAAATGTATTTATAAATGCATCTCTTTACATATTAGATGCTTCCATCCGCTTCCTTTTCAACACATGATCTTTATGGACTAGATGTGTTAATAGTGTGTGAGGGTGGCTAATATAGGTTGCTGTTACAGAAGATTGACATAACTGCCATTTGGCAAAACTACCAGCCACTCTTAAAACATGATTAACAGAGTGTTGTACTCCTTGGAAAAATGGGAATCAATTTGGAAATTACATTTTTTTCATCACTAAATGGATACAGTAAAACATCGTAAAGAAAACAAGATAGGTCAACAATGTAACTCACAGTTTGCTCACAGCTGTGCATGTAAAATGTACATGTGTGAGTGTTCATCAAAAGATGGATGTGTGAATGACGACCAATAAATAAGTCTCCATTTGAGAGTGAACACTGAGGGGCAAATGTTGAAGATCTACAGTCTCTGTCATGCAGTCTTTTACTGTAATTGGTCAGTCCAATATTCAGCAAGCAGCTAACGCAGCACACACTGCGGCTGCTGCATAACGGCCACAGGAGCAAAAATAATTGCAATTTGTCTTCCAGAAGCGCTATTGGCAAGAGCTAAGGGTTTCTATTTGAGGAGTGCAAAGAAAAATGTCTCGGTCTGTCAGAGTAGCATCCTCATATTTTCGGATGAAAGAAAACATTATATGTGTATGTTTGGCACATGAGAAATATAAAACCATATGTCCTTATAATGAGAGTGATTGGTTCCTTTTTAAAGATAAATGTTAAGGTCATATAACAACATTTGCACTAAAGTGACCTGTAAATGTGTGACTGTGTGTAATACTGTAAGTGTGAATATGGAGCAAGAATGAGCAGTGATTTGTCTTAGTTCTCCTGAGGTTCGGCTGATAAAACACCACGCACAGTTTATTGACCAAAATCATGCTGGTTTCCGCCTGCAGTTATATAATGTTATAAATGAGGTTGGTGCTTTGTGTGTGCGTGTGAGTGTGTGTGTATCTATGATATTTAGTTCAGATTTAATTCACGCACAAACTGAAGTCCCTAAGCTGTTTTTCTATCTTCTGTCAGATTCCTGTAGCCTCTCCATGCTGCAAAAAACAGCTAAGCATATTAACACAAGATTGTGATGTGAGAAAAACGAATTAACATGCAGTACAGACTGATTCATGTCTTACCTGATTAGAGGCAACAATGTATATCCAAAAAGCTTTCTGTAATTAAACCAACTGCTCTATTGTCAGCTCACACGGCCAATTACAATTCACAGTTTAAAACAGTTTTGGGATCCCAAGACATCCACTTATTTCACAGGTGTGGGTGGCCTTGCTCGGCCTTCCTGCCTTTCTTTCACACCCTCTCCACCATATCAGTGCTTGGGGATTTCTTTCTGTTTCCATGACTGGGCTCATCTCTATCCCAAGACAATGATGTCCTTGTAAAGAATAAGGCCACGTAATTAAAAAGTCATGCTTGGGCCAAACACAGAATGTGAGTCATGGTTTTATAATTATGTTTAAGGGACAAAGTGCAGTGACAGAAGAAAGCTTCTGAATGTGTATTGCATGTAACATCAGTTAAGTGTTACGGGCCGTCTCCACGGCAGCGTTAAAAAAATCTTGGAGGTGGGCGTATCTGAAGCTTGGGGATTTTTTTGCGATCAACCAATCACATGAATCTCCCGCCCGCGACATACGAAGCCAAAAAGCCCGAAGTAAACTGGATATAAACTCCCCAAACAGGCGAAAACCTACCACTGTCTCTGCCACCTCCCTCCATGCCTGGCTCCTCTGGTTTATATCCCGGTAGGTCTGGTCATAAAGCACCGGGTGATTGATTCGCTACCGCTAATTTCTCCTCCATGTTTTGGAATATGAGGAAATGACCTGCGGTATGTCTCTCCCAGCATACACGCCGTTTGATTGGCTAGAGCTTGAACTGTCAGATTTGCGTACACGGGATTTGATTGGCTGACGCTTCCTCCTCAGCTTCAAAAGTTGAACATTGTTCAACTTTGGATCTTGAAAATCCTGAGAATCTCCGCTCGCCTGCCCACAATGCATTTCGGCGAAAGCGAAAAAAAGTGACGTCACCCCATTCAAAGTGAATGGGCAGAAGCGTTTCAAGATTTTTTAACGCTGCCGTGGAGACGGCCCGTTACGGGCCGTCTCCACGTCACTTTTTTTCGCTTTCGCCGAAATGCATTGTGGGCAGGCGAGCGGAGATTCTCAGGATTTTCAAGATCCAAAGTTGAACAATGTTCAACTTTTGAAGCTGAGGAGGAAGCGTCAGCCAATCAAATCCCGTGTACGCAAATCTGACAGTTCAAGCTCTAGCCAATCAAACGGCGTGTATGCTGGGAGAGACAGACCGCAGGTCATTTCCTCATATTCCAAAACATGGAGGAGAAATTAGCGGTAGCGAATCAATCACCCGGTGCTTTATGACCAGACCTACCGGGATATAAACCGGAGGAGCCAGGCATGGAGGGAGGTGGCAGAGACAGTGGTATGTTTTCGCCTGTTTTGGGGAGTTTATATCCAGTTTACTTCGGGCTTTTTGGCTTCATATGTCGCGGGCGGGAGATTCATGTGATTGGTTGATCGCAAAAAAATCCCCAAGCCTCAGATACGCCCACCTCCAAGATTTTTTTAACGCTGCCGTGGAGACGGCCCGTTATTGTCAAAATGACCCTATGCAAGGCACTAAACCAGCGCTGGAGATGCTGCTTCTCAAACAAGAGCTACAATGCACACACACCCACACAACTTCCTTACACACCTTGACACACACAAATGAAAAAGGAAAGAATTATGTGATAATGATATACATGTAAATCTCCATTGCACAAACACCCAAATACACACTTACACACAAATCATATGTTATTTTCTTTATATAAAAAAAAAGACAGTAACACTTCAAAATCCTTAAAACAGACTCATAAAAAGACACGTTCAAATGGACACAGACACATGTAACTCATATATAAATGGATGTCTATTTCTTTAAATATCAGATTATAAATTCACTTTTAAATTCTGTAATAAAAACATTAAAATACATGTTGAAACCTGTATATGAACATATATATGTACATACACTGCACACGTGCGCACACACACACACACACACACACACACACACACACACACACACACACACACACACACACACACGCGCACACACACACACACACACACACACACACACACACACACACACACACACACACACACACACACACACACACACACACATACACACACACACAGTTATCAGGCAGTGCAGCTGTGCTGGTGAATTAGGGCTGCTATCCAGTGTGTGGGTTTGGGCTCAGGCTGGAGGCAGTCGGCTCCATTAGAACTGGAGCTCTACCAAACACGTACACACATCAAGAGAGAATCAATGGGTGAGAGAGAAACTAAAAGCTCTTTGTCCCAGTAAGGACGATAGACCATCAGTTCATCAATTTGTTTGAATCCATTTGGTGCATACACACACAGAAAACTGAGGAAAATCACTTTCTGAGGCGTATTCAATAATTAGCACTACAGAGAGAAGAGAACCACATGACAGAAATAATGTTCTATTGTTTGAGATGAAACGGCTGTATATCCATGCCAGGACTGTGATATTCTCTTCTCTTCACAACACAATATGACTCACAGTCCATAATCCCAGTTCAATAAGAGTAGCTTTTTAATGGCAAATTCATGCTGGTATGTGTTTTTTTAACCGGTTAATGGTTCCTTGTCCTTCACAACTCACCACATCTTACAGTATGTCACATTATGTGCTTCAGCTAATTAAACACTCACATGGCACATGATCTCTGCAGGTGAACGCATCTGTGACTCTTAGGCATGCACGTGTTTGTGACTTTCCACCAACAGGACATGCCATTTATGCTGTGCTGCCTGCTTTTATCTCCTAGCAACCCCTCCTTTTTTCTCCACTCTTGTCCCCTAGCTTTGGATCAGTCACAGTGCTCAGGAGGGTTTATGACTCAAAAATAATTTTCCACACTGTCACTGCACCATAGAGTAGGTCCACAGGCCCAAAGATGGCTGCCTGTCCTTGAGTTTCATGCTTTACAAGCATATCAGTGGTTACCAAGAATGAGACCACATCACCTCCATCCTTGCATCTTTACATTGGTTCATTTCATCCTTAAATTCATCTATAAAGCCATACATACTGTATAACACCCCTTACTGCACTGTAAACACTCAGATCCATCCACAACCTCTAATGTCAAGAGGAAATATTCTTGGGGGTTTAGGTGTAGCCAGTCGATATTCGGGCTAAGACTTCCTCTTACATGCGCTGCTCACTGTTTTTGTCCAAATAACAACTTTTATATGCAAGAATTGCTAAATCACTGTGAGACGATAACTGATTTGTCTCAGATTGCACTTCAGCCTCTTCTGCTTTCCACATGGTCTTTTTGCCTGCATTCAACCAAAGCCTGTTCAAATGTAAACTAATCAGATTAGAAACTGAAACCAGAATGATTACATTACCAAAATGTTGTTTTTCTGTCGCCTAAGGATTCTGCCTTCATTTGCAGACATCTGTTTAAAGAGATGTAACACAAACTATTCCTTGTTTTCATTGCTCGAGGACTTGCAAAAGCCAAAAATAGAGAATGATATCACTCGCCTACGTTTGATAACTTAACAAATACAAGATGAATTTTGTAGAAGGGTAGTTCGTCCCAGAAAAAAGGTTTTGATACCCAGAGCGGATACAGCAGTCGCACACAGTGTCCTGTTACAATTCCCATTTATGCACAAAGTGACTTGGAACATGTATGTAAACAGTTTAAAATGACCTCTTTAGTATCCTATACGGAAGGTAAATCATCATACATCCTCAGACTATTGCAGTATGAACACAAACCCCTTCTTTAGTTTTAGATTAAATACAGTTTTCCTGATAGTTCATGTCTTTGCTGCCCGGGAAACCCATTAAGGCTGTGTTGTCAGCGGGCAAAGCTCTTTTTTATTTCTTGCAATTCAACATCTACTAGATATAAAATAAGTTATTTTTGGCATCAACTTCAGCCGGAAATCGGAAAGTATTTTCAAAGTGCATTCAGTGAAATACCATGAACTGGTGATCGCCTGACCAAATAGAGCAGTAACGATTTGTATCCCGTTGTCTGGATTGAGAGGGGCAATCGATGAAATCTGCAAAATGGCATTTAACTCCATCAGGACAGTAAGGCAGCTGTGAGAGGAGCTTGAGAGAAAAAAGAGGCCTGAGGGTTACGACTAAGAGGCAAGACATTACGAGAGATGAATGACAAGACATATATCTTCCCTTTTAAGATAAAATAACCATCTCAACCTCAACCAAATTATATATTCAGTTTCTTTATCCAATTAAGATTTTTTTTTAAATGTGGTCATTTGTATTTGTCAAGAACCTATAGACGGCTCCCACTTTGTCAGAGTTGATTTAAAAAAAATGTATAATCCCTGTTAAGGCTCGTAGGGGTTAAGTTCCAGAAAACACAGCTGACCTCCTACGAGACTAAATTCAACCTGACATCCTCTGGCAGGTCACTCGTGTTCATTCCTCGGTCAAACTTTAAATTAAAGGGGACCAGGCCTTCTCAGGCCTCTCAGCTGTTGAATGAATTGCCACAGCAGACAAAGGAAGCTTACACATTGTGGTCTTAAAGGTATTTCAGACTTTTTAGAAGAACATTAAAAAAGAAAGTATTTATCAAAGTATTTGATTAACCATTTGTTGTCTTTTTAGTTCGATGTAAAATAAAATAAATAAAGTGAGATTGTTTGTAGCAGTTGTATTATATACAACTCAGACACAGCTTTCTGTGTCTGTTTCTCAAGAAAGAAGCACAAATATTATCTTGAGCACACATTATTGTTGAAAGAGCAAGTTTATGAAGTGAGATGTTCACTCAGTATGAACATAACTACATCAGTAGTGAGCGATAAGATAAGACAGTAAATGGAAGATATATTGAAGTGCGTCCATGATTCAGCAGCAGTGTGGGCTTTCCAGTCATTAAAGATGTCTGTCACTGCTGACTCAACTCAACTGTTACTAGGAATTATTTCCCTCTTAGAAAACACGTCAATTACTTTTTTCTGTCCACGCCAACACCCCATCCTTCCTTCTTTGGAAGATGACCCTTCTGTCTTCCCTCCCCAGAAGCACCCTGAACTGACAGCAGGGACACAGATCCTGACTCAGACAACTGGGCCTGTCACTTCCAGACTAAGCTGTGTGTCTGAGGGCCGGGCTTGGCACTCTGTGCAAAAGCTGCAGGCTACCAAAGACTCTGCATGACATTGCCTTGGTTGAGACAGAGCTTCAGGGGTTAACATGAATGGACAAGAGGAAGAAGTAATGGTTAGTGAGACAGGAGAAGAGAGAGCTGCAGGAGATAGAAATAAAAGGGTGCTTGTTTTGACTGCTTCAGCCCACAGGTAGCATGAGTCATTCACACCTTTTTCAATGCCACACTTTATGGCTTTAGCCATATGCTGCATTACTTTAATGGTTTTAAAGCATCACCTAGTGTATTTTGTAATTAAAAAACATTAAATAGAGTAAGACACTTCACAGATGGACTTTTTCTTCAGACATATGTACTACAGTGCAACTCTATAAAACACTGAATCATTTATCAGATAGGCACCTATGGATCAGGCTCACTCTAATTTGATTACAATTAAAGCTTTGGAGGGATGCCAAATAGCTAGAAGGAAAACATCTAACTGTGTTGTAGGTCAGATTTAAGACATGGAGTTGATACTAGTATTCTAATCAAATCTGTAATTATCCCATGGGTTTAATTTGTGTCAGTTATAGTACAGTATACTATTGCAGGGATGTTTGGAAATCCACGCTAAAAAAGAATCAGTGGAGTAAATGAAGGAGTCGTCTTCTACAGTGCTCCTCTGTGGCGCTGGTGTACAGAACGCATCAATGGCACTAAAATGTTTTTACTACGAACTGAAGATGAAGAGGCTGTTCAGCATGTAAGTGTGTACCTGCACTAATGAGAAAACAGTGTTACCCAGATGAATACAGTATGGCAGTATGGAATTAGATGTATTTGCATTAACATAACGTCTTTTGAGAATAACTTAATTGCTTCTAATATTTCACACACTTTTATATTAATTATTTTTAAGCCTTATAGGCAAGCTGAGTTTTTTACATGTTCATATTGCTGTTTTTACTCTAGCAAAAGCCCTTTGAGATGTCAGAAGTATTTGGTACTTGGGACATCTCAAAAGCACAATCATTTCAAACATGTTTACTTGAATCTCAACTGGTTTAAGGTGGTCAGACATGCAAAGACTACTGTCAGTACTTACTGACCAGGCAGTCAAGAAAAAGGTGGAGAGACACACTTCAATATGTTCTGTATTGACAGTAAACTGGCATATAGACTGAGGCAGTTTCCTCTCCTGTCAGTCAGCTGTCAACCATAAGAGACTTTCTAGCTCACCTCTGGTCCTCCACCTGTCTCCTGCCCTCACACTGGGTGTTATTTTTAATCACCATGATGACATGACTGTTGCTACGTTTGTTTTACACTGATACTGCATGCCATGGTTATTATAATCAAGCTATACAAACATAACTGCATATAATCTTAAATAAACATGATGTGATCAATGGTCCACTTATTCTTACTGGGTCCTCCTTTACCTCCATCAGCGGACCCAGGATGTGATAATGGATCACACATCAACAAGACCTCAAGCATGATGCCATTTTCCCCTTCAAACCTCACTTGACAGATCCTCCTCCCCAATTGGGCCATCATTCTCTTATAAGGCATAATATGAAAGTAGACGCTCAGCACAGTGGTGAACGGTGTAAGGATGGCGTCAAGGTCATTTGAGGGTAACTGGGAAAATAAAACACCGTCTGGGCAAAGAGCCATCTGAAAACCCAGCAAACTGCCCCGTGTCTGTTAATCCGCGACTTGAGGATGCAGTTTACATTTTGATGTCTTAAATTGCATCGGTATCTTATCAGTAGCTAGTCCACTGCAGTCTCAAAATGATGTGGCCAGAACACATGTGTGTGCTTGAGGAACAGTGAAGAATAACTCAGTGCATCGCTATTTGATACTCTCCCCGGCGTTACTGCACGTGTTAGCACCTCAGAATAACAATATCAACAACACCCTGCATACAGCATTGTCCTGCAGGTTAAAACACCTCACACATTTAGCATCATGTGAGAACATTACATGCGTAAACGTATTCGCGAAAAAAATATACATTTAAGAAGATTTGATCAATCTAAGTAAGACATGCAAAGAAAACAGGCGTGATAATGTATGGCATTAAATAGTTCCTGAAATATTAAATAGTCCATTAGTTAAACTGCAAATTATGAATTTCTATGAAAGGATTTAAACTGAAGGCTATAGTTGTTGGAGCTTATGGACAGACTCATGTGTGCCATACCTAGCGTCAAAGCAACGCGCCATGCATTGGACAGCTAAAGGGCACTTTACCTGGTAGCTCAGCATGCTCTCGGGGTCGTTGATGGGCATGCTGGTGGCCTTTGGGTTAACCTGCTCAGTGTTCCCGGAGGGTACAGGTGAGACTTTCTCAGGAGCGGATCAGCCTCTCAGCGCTGGCTTAGGACGTTTCGAAAAGCATTCACGAGTTGGTGACAACAGCTGCTTCTGTTTGCGCGGACATGGTGAGTGTAAACACCTCTTTCAGATTAGCTGAACGGTGAAAATGATAATTGGTGCCCCCCGTGTGTTATGATGATTTCCCGGCCGCGCTTCCAGCTCCCCTCCCTCCTGTCCTGGCTGTGGGAGCAGGATGCAGAGAGCATCACTGCAGCTCAGCCAATCAGAGCGCAGAGGCACACAACGGGCTGCGACGCACTGCTGCTACCCAACACAATAAAGCCAAGACTATTAGAAGCTTATAGAGCTACGTCACTCTACATCATATCCAGTTTGGCATCTTCTCACATTTCAACATGCTAAGATGTTCTGGACTATTGTGCACAGCAAATGTTGTGAAGCTGCTTGTTGTTTTTTCTTCTTTTGTCATATTGCACTCTGCATCTATGAAGCTATAGAATATATTCCTTCAACACATTTGGTTTATCCTCTTAACTTATTTGTTTTCTTTGTTTCAAAGAAGAAGTGCTGGGGAAAATTGTTTAGATCCTTTGTATAAGTATCAATACCACAACACAAAAACAACAACTCAATTAAAGGTAAGATCATCCAAACGTTTAGTGAAAGTATAGAGTAAAAGGAGAAATATTATCTGCCAAATTCACTTAAACTGATATACATTAAATTGTAATATAAATACTTTTAGAGATGTATGCTATTGTCCCATTCAATTGTATTGTATTCTGTTTTTTGTGTAGGCTATTATATCATACTTGTTTTAATAATAGGATCAAATGGGAATACACGTTAAGAACAACTAATTATTCTAAATCAACTAACATTTTCCTTAAGAAAAGTATGTCTATATGTAGACAAGGCGATATATTCTTCAATCATTAGTAAAGTAGTGACAAACATGATTGCAAAAGTGAACAGTGAGCACATAACATGAAAGAGAGAACAGCCACATTATTGATCCAATAACACACACTATAACCAGAGATAAAATACTAGCAAGCCTTGGATGCCACCTTGTGGGTCGGCAGAGCATTACGCAGAGCAGGATATCTGCCTTTTCTATACGCAATGTAATCTAAATGGTATGCAGCTCACATGTTTTACAGAGTGACGGTGATACAGGCGTGCTATTAAAGATGCAGGACACGTAATTATAATTTTTTCAACCTCTACTGAGGTCGCAAGGAAAGCACTTCAAACCGAGCAGCAGCCTCCACATTGGCCTCAGCATGAACTCTCTCGATCAAAACACATGAGACTGTCCACCTGCCACATTGTCACACCCGATTGGACGCCCGCACGTGTAAGCCACACTGCAACTGATAGCGTGAGATCAGATAAGTGATCCACTTTGTTCAGCGCGTGGCTAAAAGGTGAAATATTTTTTCACTGCCATGCGCAGCGTCCTGTTTCTCATGGGTACTGTTGTTGTGGCAACTGTAAACATTATATGAGTGTGCACGGTTGCTATGGGAAGGGTCAGCGGGTAGGAAGCAGGACTGTGCGAAACTGTGGGCAGAGTGGTCGGGACAGTGGCGATGTGACAGGTTTGAATAGGCTATTATTGTTCATAGCTAGATATGTTATTGTTGTCATAGATGACACGTTGAGCATGTGTTTCCTACTATACCTGCTTTTGTGCACCAATACATGTCTACATCTCTGTGTTTGTGTTTGTTTGTTTGTTTGTTTGTGTGTGTGTGTGTGTGTGTGTGTGGTGTGTGTGTGTGTGTGTGTGTGTGTGTGTGTGTGTGTGTGTGTGTGTGTGTTTTGCGCATGGGTTTCTTACTGAGTGCTGTGACAGCCTCAGTCAGCTCTGTTCAGATTTAGATGCCTGCTTGACCCAATTTACATCCTTCAGCTAGGTCCCACACATATTCCAGTTTATGAAATGGTAGCTACATGGTCTTGGTCTTAGAGTAAACATGTTTTTGTATCTGTCTTTCTGTTCTATGAATTATAATATAATGATGATCAAAAAATGATGCTGTTGTAAACATATTTCTGGCCCCACAGAACTGACCACTCTATGTTGATCTGCTGAAGAGATTACTACCTATCAGGAAAATGCAACAAGTGCCAGGTAAGTGGATGGATCTTCATACAAATGCCTGCACACAGTTGCCTTTTATACAGCCATTTTACCAAGCAGTTTGTCTCAGTGTTACAGTCCACGGTGGCTCCAGTTGAAGGGAGGCTACATCGTAATGTGCCAAGCCTGCCAGCGATCAAGCCTGACAGGCTGAAAACAGCCAAAACACTGGTAGAGAAGGCAGTGAAGGTGATTATATGTGAAACACAGACGTCACTGTACACCTCTGCATTTACACCCACATCTTTTTATGTTCTTTGTGTTGTATTTGACTCTTATTTATATGACTCTTCCACTCATTCTCAGCTGAGGAAGGTGTTTTCAGTGCAGGGGCCCTACCCAGTGATCCGTGCTGCCCTATGGGCCAGAGGGTGGGTTGAACGCCGTTTGCCTATTCCTACCCAGAGAGCACCTCATTGCCATGGCAATGAAGAGGAAGATAGCGGCGATGGTGATGTCAGTGTTCATGTTACTGGTAAGACAATGGAGGACAAAGTCCTATGAGAAAACAACATGCAGTGTAGGTGTAAACAACACCCAAAAAAACAGCTGTGCCTGAGCGACTGATATACTGGAGACGGAATAGATTTGCATTATAACCTCACAGTATTACTAACAAATAACTATTATATCTTATAATCACTAATAAGGTATCATGCTTTTACATAATTGCTGGTCATTAACTGACATTTTAATTGCAAGTAAGATATCCTTTCATAATTCCCATAGTTGTAGACAATTATCTTATAATCTTATGTCTTATCATCACGTTTATAAAGCATTATGACTATTATCATTGGCGTCATAGAAAGTGTTACCAATATTTTTTTTTAATCATCCATATTAAATCTATTAGTTAATTTGGTGATTTGAATTCGGTATAATAAAAAGATCAGTTGTATTTTTCTTAACTCTCAGAGCTAAAAGTGCAGGAGAGGTTAGCATATTTGTAATTTGAGCACTAGATTAGATGGATACAAGGATACCCCTCACCTGATAAATGATACATTGGGTACCACGTTACAGACAGCAACCTATAACAAAGACCCCTACCCAACCTGTTAAGCCCTGAGCCTGTTTTTCAGGTCTCAGGCTCGAAAAAGACATTTCCAGAACAAATGACCATAACTACACTTCTAAAAGGGTTAAATTAATAATCTTTTTTCTCAAAGTAATGATAAACCTGTGAGTTGGATGTAGAAAAGTCAGAATCAATATAGATGTTTTTTATTTGAAAGAAAATTCAGATTGAACATAGTAAAAAACTGTAAATTATAGTGTCCGTCCACAAATTCTTTTTTACTTATAGTGAAAACTACCCTTGGATGATGGTAAGGTAGACTAAAGCTTAGGAATCCAAAGTACAACATATAATAAGTACCCTGTATCAAGATTGATGCAAAACAAGTGACATTTGACCTTTTTAGAGAGGTTTAGCAAAAACAACTCCACCTCTGGAGTGATTTGGGTGGAAATGGGCGTTTTTTCAGTTTCTCTGGAACGCATTGGTCGATTTTGGTGATTGACATCTCTTTCTGACCGTTAGAGCCAATAGAATTGAAGGGGGGATTTCACATAGACACCAATGTTAACACAAAAAGGTGGGGGCTTTGCGCATGTAGTTTTGCATGAGAGTGAAGCTATCTCTCACTCTGACATCTGGAAACGGAAAAGCAGGGTTTATTGCTTATGGATTATCAGAAATCATTTCAAAGGGACACAGACACATTGGATTAACCTATGGATTAACTTCAGCAGCGTTTTTATCGTTTTAATGCCATTGAAGACCAGTTTTGACCAGACAACGACACAGGTAAGCCATGTTAGCGTTTTTAGCTACCTAGCGCCACATGTTTTGATGTCTGTTTTTGTTTATAAAGTCGCGAGTTCTTATCATAGAGTGATAATGTATGTACCCATCGATTCTGTGTCATCTCACGATGCGAATCGATGGTTGGATGTAATATAATAAAAGATAAATAATAAGGGTTTTATGAGTGAGTTTCTGTGCAGTAATCTGTTAGCATTTTTCGCTCATTGCTAATTCAGAGGCTCAGCGTTAGCATTGTGTTTAAAAAAAAAAAAAAAAAAAAAAGATCAGTTAGATGAGTTTCTTCCCGTTACATGGATATAAAACATTCATAGTTTATTAAATATTAAGATGCCCTCAGACACTGTTTCCTCAGATGACGCGTTTTTCCCCCGGTATCGGGGGGAAGGTGCTTAACAGGTTCCCCAGTCCTAGTCTACATGCACCCTCACACAAACACACTCTTTACTTATCTCTCTACAGAGAGAGTGGATGAAGGCGAGAAAGACGAGACCCTCGATGACATGTACGGCCTCATGGTAAGATAACGTTCTAGTGAACCAACAATACGCTGACATCTTGTGCAGTGTGAGAGCAATCATATGTGCTATTACTGCATTCTCAGAAAACTTCATCTCCATGTGTCTTTTTTAATTTGCGTTCATTCTAACAGCATATTTACATTTTTCACACTTTTGCCCAACCTTGCAGTCTCGCATGGTTCGAAATGAAACAATTTATTTCCACTGGACAACACGCCGGGATTACATCGACTGTCGATCCCTACGGAATGACCAAATGATCAACCACTATGCAAATTCTGGGACATTTACTACCAAGGTATCATCTCATTAGAGTTTCCAATGATTATGTACCAAAATGGCCCGAGGTTAACCAGTATTCTCTATCTCCTATGTTTACATGTCTGTTAATTCCAGGTGGGGCTCTGTGTGAACCTGCGTAACCTTCAGTGGTTTGATACAGCTGATCCCGACACCTTCTTCCCAAGGTGCTACAGGCTTGGGGCAGAGGATGAACAACACGCATTCATAGGTCTGCTGTGTGGTTCTATTTACTCATTTGTCAACATACTGCTGAATCAAATATGCAAAGACAGGTGTAAAGGGTACATGGAAAAATAGATGCACAAGTTAACAAATGTTGCATTCCCTTTTTGAGATGATATCATCTTAAACAGATGCCATTTCTCTCTCTTTGTGCTCTTCTCTTTTCGTTCTGTTTTCTATGAAGAGGATTTCAGGAGAACAGCATGCACCAGTCTGCTGCAGCATGTAGTTGAGACAAGTAGAAGGACGAGAGACCAAGCAGAGGGTGAGGAACAAAAAGCCAAAACAGTGTTCATGGAAATCAAATTAATGAAGTTATGACCACACCATTTTTTATTGAGACCAAGCATTGTTTCCCTCTACAGAGTTGGATAATGGGGATCTTCAAGTTGTTGGTCCAGGAATGGTTGACATGGCTTTGCACGTGTGTCAAGAGTTTCTCAGTGTTTTGGAGCATGGCGACATTGATTCAACTGCAGAAACACCACACTCAGCGAAGGAACAGCAGTGGGTTGAGTTTCTGCAAGAATACTACATGGTTGTGCAGTGAGTATGTTTTCATGGAGCTTCCTGGGAATGCTCAAATGATCCTGCTGAGGTCACACTTAGTGCATCTGCAGTACAGCCCAAGTAGACGTCACTGCAAATATACAGCATGTCCCAGTCCCACACTATTGTTTATTCTGTACAAATACTACTGCATGCTAATATTTAAAGGGTACTATGATTGGCAGTTGGTATAACAAAGATAAATAGTGCCCTGCTGTATAAACAGGCATGCAAACAGCCGTCATTGAGCTGCACAATCAGTACAATACTTCCTATTTCAATCTTAAATCAACTCTGAACTGTGAGTAGCTCTTTCACTTAATTTCCTATGTGCATTGTATTGGACATTAATGTCTTATTAACACCACACAGTAACTTGTTTTATTTTGCATTGGTACTTTTATTGTTGGATTATATAATTTCCCCCTCTTTGAATAACCAGTACTGTATGCCTACTTACATAACTCTTCAGTATGGAAGCACAATGACTGTCTGAAGCACAGCATTATATTAGGAATTCATGAAAACTCACCTTCTTAAAATAATACACTCTTCATGTTTGTAGTGAAGGTGCATCGATCAGGGGTAGCGGTGTGTTTGTGGAGCGCTGCCAGGCCATGTTAATCAGACTGCAGGAAGTTTGCCCTCAGCTTGATACTGATGGACTAAACAACATCTGGATCATCAAACCAGGTGCCAAGTCAAGAGGACGAGGTGAGGTTTAAAGAAATACAAATAACATTAATAATTATAGAAATATGGGAGTCTTTTTTTATGAATCTTTTACTTCTTTTACTGAAAAAAACATTGAAAAACAAACTTGCCATGGTGACTTGTATTATTGCAAAGTACATTTTGACATGGGGATGTCACTAGTGCTTTCTTTTTTTACTTTTACTTTCTTCTCAGTAAAATTATGATGATAAACTAATTCAAGCCTGCTTTTTTGGTCCTCAGAAACATCATATCCTCTTAGTTTAATGTAATCATGTTGCAACCACCCCTCTAGGTATAATGTGCATGAATCGCATGGAAGAGATTTTGGCACTCGTGGACAGTGACAGAGCCCTGAGTAAGGAGAGCAAGTGGGTTATTCAGAAATACCTGGAGCGTCCTCTGTTGGTCCATGGCACCAAGTTTGACCTCCGCCAGTGGTTCCTGGTCACGGACTGGAACCCCCTGACTATCTGGTTCTACAGAGAGTGCTACCTGCGGTTCTCCACTCAGCCCTACTCCACAAAGACTCTGGACAGGTACATTTTTCTTTTGTTTTTGACCTTTGCTCTATGATTTAACACTGCAAGGAGGATCATTTAAAGCATGATTTACACTAACCTTCATGGCCTTATCTCTTTTATGTTTCCTCAGCTCAGTCCACCTGTGCAACAACTCCATCCAGAAGCACTTCCAGCCGTCCTGTGAGCGCCACCCAGGGGTTCCTGAGGATAACATGTGGTCCTGCTCTCAGTTCAAGGCTTTTCTGCAGTTGCAGGGCCTTGGGGCAGAGTGGGAGTCAATTGTGGTCCCGGGCATGAAGCAAGCGGTGGTCCGTGTCCTGCAGACATCCCAGGACCTCGTAGAGCCCCGCAAAGCGAGCTTCGAGCTCTATGGAGCCGACTTTATGCTGGGCAGTGATCTGAGGCCTTGGCTTCTGGAGATCAACGCCAGTCCGACCATGTCCTGCTCCACCGCTGTGACCGCCCGCCTCTGCCCTGCTGTGCAGCTGGACACACTGAGGGTGGTGCTCGACAGACGCACTGATCCTAGTGCTTACACAGGAGGATTTCAGCTAATATTCAAACAGGTAGGAATATATTCAAATATCATGCCTACGCAATGGGTTATAATTTCCATGGGAAGTACACTGAATTATAGAGGCCACACCAAGTGCATATATGTGTGTCTTTATCCCTCTACCAGGCTGCAGTAGAAGTTCCCCAGTATGTAGGAGTAAACCTGGTGGTGGAAGGAGCCCCCATAAGGCGATCCAGATCTCTACTTCATAGACAAACTGTTATTTCTAAGCCACCGCTCACCATGCAGCTCCCTCCACACCAGTCTTCAGAAGAGGTTGAAACGACACATATACCGGTATCAGGTCCGAGGTCCTGTGCAGTCTCTGCTTTCTGTCTTTCAGGCAAAGAGAACCGAGCTGCTGGAGAGAAAAAGAGGCAGCTGACATCAACATCTCCTAAAAGGGAATGCGAAGGGAGGAAAGATGTTCAGAATACCTCCTGTGTTCGCACGTTGGGTCGCAGTCTGGCAAGTCAAATGCCCCTGGTGGTACACACTGAACCTCAGAGGAAAGCGCGACGGTTGGGTTTGAGTATTGGTGCCAACGGGGAAACTCTGGTCCCACGGAGCTTCTCCTTTTCCCCCCCTCACAACATGTCAGATTGCAAATCCCGGGCCAACCAAGGCCATGGATCACACATGACTAGATCTTTTCTTCCACAGACAGCTTTTGATCCTCAACACAGGACTCCTATCCGGGTGTTTCCTTCCCTCCGCAGTCCCCTTCCTACCCTGGAGGTCTTAAGCATGCGACCTAACATAGTGGCTGGAAACACAGCCTATCGTAATCCAAACTTGTCCTCTCATCTCAGCGTCCACAGTCTTCAGTTATTCCTCTGCTCTCGAAGGCAAAGCATGGCTACATTTAAAGGGCAGTGCACAGGGGAACATAAACATTGAAATTTAGTGTTTAACAAACAGTTGAAAGTGCTAAAGAAATGTTGTTAGCAATAACAGTTATCATGCCTAACAACTAATAAGATGTATATATATCACAATATACTATGTGATAATTTAAATTGTTCTTGTGGCTTTAGATTTTATTTGTCAAAAGAAACAAGACAATCATGTTTAGCGAGCCAAGTGAGACATTTTCCAATCATTCTCAGGCTTTCAATTTACAACAGTAAGGTTAATATGAATAATTCTACATTCTTATATTAGGAGAAAAGTGTTACACAATATGTAAAATAACCCATATGCTTAAGTGGTATATGTGAACTATGTTGTGGTTTGCCTGACTTGTGTATGATTTATGATTATGTTGTGTATCGCTTATGTAAGAGCGATACTGGGTGGAAGTTCATCTGTATTAAAACAAACGAACCAAACAAGTTAATTGAAGTGTCTCCAGTGTAGCAGATATTTCAAGCTGACTGGGCAGAAAATAATATAATAAAAGGATCACTGGTTCTATGTTCTGCAGAGAAGTGGTCATTTTCATAATAACAGGATGTAGGTATATTTAATACCCAGTAGGGGGCAATAAAGGCTAAACTATCAGACTGCATGTTAATGGTAAAGCCTGTCCGGGGGAAGTACAAAGAAAATAATTGGCAGTTCTAATCCAGTTGATATTACATTTTTAGCAACACCTGGGGAACATGGTCTTTAAGCCTGTTCGGAAAGTCCGTGAATGATTTAAACATCAATAAACATTCTTACACATTATTGAACATATTTTTAAAAAAATGGACCGTTAACCGTTTTCTTAAAAAAATAAATAGCTCTGGGTTTCATTCCCTTAATAGGACAGGTTGACAGAAATAGAAACAGACAGGAAACAATGAGGGAGGGAGAGATAGGTATGACGTTGATGTTGTGGTTACATGGTATGCCTCGTAACCAACTACTGAGATGAGCGTTAAAATAATTATTTGACAGTATACATGTGTTTAACTAGCTGGCATAATGGGCTTACTACAGCTCTAAAATTAGCTTGCGAATTATCACTCATTGGAAACAAATGACTGGACATGTAGTTCTAGAGAATCAGTTTAGAAGGAACTAATGACATTTAAAATGCATGTCATGGCCTTCAGTTTATGTGAACAGGGTAGACAACACTCTAACAGCCCAGAAATGATAGTTGAAACAATAAGAGTTTATGATGTTGCAGGAGACCTGGGTAGAAATCTTCAGCATGAGATAAGCCTTGTTGATTGTAGGCGCACTCACATAGATAATACATGTGATTGCACAATACAATACATGTTGTTATTATAAGTTGTATTTCTTTCAATGTATGCGTTTACAGTGCTGGGAGTGTAAAAACAGTGAGATGTTGTAATTCTGGGATAATAGCATTTCATTTTAAATCGTACATATGATAAAAGAAAAAAGAGAAAATGTCTCTCAGTCCAGGCTGTTTACAGGCCACCGATGGATCCTGATCATTGCCTCATGTGATTAACTCAAACTGTTTACACTCACATGTATTTACTTGTTGTGTGAGTGGGCGCAGACGGTTAATCAGCAGAGCTGGGCTACAGATCTGCCATTATATAAGTGTTCCCTGTGACATGAATGTTGTGGCGCTGTTAAAGAACAGATTGCATTACAGTTATTCACTGATATTTTCTCCTTCTCTTTCACATACATAGTCAAAGCGTTTTTCCACGGGAAAAAAAAATACTTTATTAAAACACTTATATAATGTATACCAACATTTATAGACAAAATATGTACATCAAACATCTTTCATGTAGGTCCCAAAGTATAACATTTCAAGTACCTCATTCTATAGAAAACTAGTCTTATGGTAAAATGTTTACATTCAACTTTCTCTCCTCCGCCCTCCTCCTTTTGAATCCAGTATTCATACAAAGTACAGAGAATAAACATCTTAGCTTTTCACAAGTAAAAGGCAAAAGCAAGAACAAACACCAGGTTTGACTTGAGCAGAAACAGATGTTGTGTATGCAGACCAGGTCCAGCACAGTGCTACAGTATGTACACAGTTCTGAGTACACAACGTACAATTGTCCACGCTCTGCCCCCCCCTCTGTTTCTCCGGCGGACAGAGTGCAGCAACAGGTATCAAAAATAGAAATGTACAAGAAGTCTATGAACAATAGTTACAGAAAATCCATCTAAAAGGTCTGTCAATGAAAAACAAGACTTCTCATTCAGTGTGGTCATATGGTGGCCCGTTCCTTCATCCATTCATTGGGTGTACTCTCTTCGGTGCACACTTGAAGAAACCCCTTTTTTTATTATCTTATGGGGCCAGTCATCATAGTGTTTGGTTTAAAGGGCATTCTCATTTATGATAATGATGACCTAAAGGGCCATGGGGTGAAAAATGACTGCTAACATTTGGTGCAAAACTTTCTAAAGTACAAAGATGGCGTGTCTCTATTGCAACAGCTACAAGGGTGATGCATCAGTGTCTTCAGCGTTTACTTTCACAGCAGCATCTAACATTTCTTTCTTTACATTCATCCAAGTGTGTGTGTGTGTGGTCCAGTTCATGAGATACATTTGCACTGATTAATACCACTGAGCATTTGACATTCAAACAGAGCGTTACATCCTCCAAGTGTGGACGGATGTTGCCCTCTCCTCCATCTCTTCCTGATCATTTATCCAGTTTGCCGTTTGACCTCCAGGCTGAGGAACAGAGGACAGGAATGAGAATGGATTATGGGAAGGATCAGTCATGTTCTCATTCCTACTGCCGTTTCTGCTCCGAGTTACTAGAACAGGATCGTCTCTTCACTCCTGTTTTTTCTTATGTCTCAGTCTTTGGTTTCCAGGTTGATTGGTGGTACCTGCTTTAGTGCCTGGAGGAGGGCAGGGGAGTCCATGGGGGTCTGAGATATGGCTGGGGCTGGAGAACCTCCCCTTTGAGACAACACAAACTGAGGTGGAGATGGTCTTTCACTTGTCATAGACGATGCAGAGCCTCCCATGCCAGGGTAGAGCATGGGCACAGCCCCGGGGTACCAGCATTTCTCCAGCATTGGCAGGTAGGCTGCAGCAGAAGGGGGGATGAGGTAGAAAGGCATGCAGAGGGGGTGAGGAGGAGGCTGACGGTTAGGGGACACGTTCATGTAACTGCCGTAACTGCAAGAGGACGATGATGTGGATGATTCTCCACCTGAGAGCAGCTCATCCTCAGACGACTCCACCCGGGGTCGTTTGTGCTGCGGCTCCTCGTCCTCCTGCTTTATGCCGGAGCTCTGCGTCCCGCCCAGGCCTCGCTTCAGCTGGCTCTCCTGACCGTATGAATCTGGCCGTCCCTGTGGCCTCTTCTCCAGCTCTCCCCCATAGCCGCTGTCTGTATCCGTATCGCTGCCACTCTGCTCACTGCTCATTGGAGCGTACGCCCGCTGGATGACAGGCACACAGTTCCTCCCATAGCCCTCGCTGGGTTTAGGGGGTGAGCTGGTGGGCATCTCTTTGTGCAGTTGGTGCTGGTGGTATGCAGGGGTCTCCTCGGGTTGAGGGCTGAGAGGAGTGCGGGGTCGGGCCGGACCTTGCAGCACCTCTGCGGCTACCTTGTGAAGGTGATTGATGACATGGGATGGCGTGAGGTCTTCATCCGTCTCATGATTGCCAAGAAACTGAAGCATCTCCTTGGCACACATGTGGAAACCAGAGCGGAACATCTCCTCTGACTTCTCCTGGTTGATAGACGGGTGCTCTGTAAAAACAACAAGAGAACACAGTCAGAATTTGTGCAGTTTGATATGGTGCCAACACTATATCCCAAGTCACTTATTAACTTGTAGCTCTTCAGCATTCTGTCATTGTATATTTCACTTGGTAATTTGCATTCTGTCCAACACACCATCCTGCTGCATGTGCATTTCTGTGTGTAAGTGATCTGCAGCTTACCAATTTGCATGCCGTTCTGCAGAGCGTGGATCTTCTGCTGCTGTTGCTCCAGAAGAGAGGTGAGGGCTTTCACATGCTTCAGTGTAAGCTCTAAAACCACAGCTTTCTCCAGATGGCCCAGAGTCTGTCGGAAACAAACACAGTCAGCACATACTCATCTATTATATAACACATAGAGTCTATGCTCTACTGCTCCGCTACACATGCTCTTAGTTTTCTCATCACCAAAACACTACAGCAGCAATCATAAAGGACAACATAATCAATAAGAGATATTTAACATTATAGGGGCCATATATAAAAGCAACATGGATTCATGAGCATAACGTTTATTGCTGTTCTTTTGTTTTTTGACTGCATATTGGTTTTAAATTCCCAAGTTTAAACATTTACAAATGACAGGAGACATCCTCTTTCGTTTCTTCTTCTTTTTGTGTACATCCTTTTCAGTTTGGACTGTCCTTTACTGACGCACACATGATGTAATACCACTGAACAGCCACTCGATGGTGCATGCAACTCAATACAGTGAATCCCATTATCCCTTCCAGCCACAGCATGAACTTACCGTGAGTTTCAGGTGCTCTGGTAATAAATCTTTCAACTGAGCGATGCACTCGTTTATCCGGTCACGCCTTTTCTTCTCAATAAGTCTGTGAGGCAGCTTGTAGGTTTCCTGCAATAAAAAAAATTGCCATGATTTTTTAATTCAGATAATCTGAGAGCACACAGTGATAGTATATATATATATATATATATATATATATATATATATATATAATATATATATAATATATATATATATATATATATATATATATATATATATAAAATATATATATATATATCAGAAGCTCCGATAGGGAGGACTCCAGAAGTTATTTCATTGCAGAAAGTAGGTCAACCATGTATGGGACTACCAAAATACTGCAAGGCAGTTCAGATCCTTTAACAAAATATATGTTGTTAAAATGTAACAAGGTAGTAAAAGGCAAAATAATATCTCACCTTGCTCTCCTCTCCTCTCTTCATTCCTCGCCTGGGTTTATAAACATACATCGGGAAATCCATCCTAAAAACATACGGAGACAGAACGGTTAGGTATGAGGTAATGGTTTGGTGAAGTATAAGGTACAGAACAAATAACATATCAAGTGCGTTTAAGGAAAACGTTTTTTAAGTATAACTTACCCTTGCATGTCCGACAGATCAGCCTGGTGTTTGGACAGAGGAGGAGGTTGCGCGCTAGGAATTCGCTCCATTATTGTTATTCCAATTACGCAGTAAAGTCGAGGTAGTGCACTCAGAAATAAAAACGAATTTATTTGTGCGTGATGAAAAAAGTTGGAAAAGAGAAAATGCACTAAAATGCCTTTTAATATGTGCAAGGTTTGTATTAATTTCTTATACCAATCGTATTCATGTAAAGGTTATTTTGCTTGTGAAAATGGGTCCAAGTTAGTTCCTGCGATGTCCACGCTGTGGTCCTGCCGCAGAAGGAAGGTAACCCTGTTGGTGGCGCGTTGGGAAAGTGAGGGAGGAAAGAGAGACGAGTTAAATAAACCCTCTGACTCTCAGCTCCGCCTGACCTACCTCTGTCACATGAGGCTCACGTGTTAAACGGCGCTGTATCCTCCGCGGAGGGACGGCCCATTTTCTACCGATAAGGAGTCTCAGTGGGCGGCAGGAGGCCTACGTCAGAGCGCAGGGCGGCGCGTGTCCGATCCCGTGTACCTCCATGCTGAAGTGTATTGAAACAAGGCTGCACGAGCCACTGCTCGGAGAACGTGCTGGCAGTGAAAGAGTGAAGGAGTTCAATGGGCTTGGAGCGAGAGGGAATGGCGCCAAAAATACATACAATTACACTATTACAAATACTATGTCTATAGCAGGCCATACTATTAATCTGCAGGTTTATTATATGGCAGTAATGCTTTATGTCATCAAGTACAATGGAATCCCTAAAAAATAGTGTTTTCTGATGCATGGATGTTTGTATTTAAATATTTTAATCATATTTATACTCAACATTTCATTGATTATGTAGGAACAATATCAGCTTATAACACACTGTTGTCACTTGTTGCCAACTCTTTACTTTTATTATGTTCACTTACATTTTATAGAGCTGCTACTCATTTTTGTTTTGATTGATGTGTACTCATTTGATTTTCTTTTATTAATGTGCTTGCCTCTTTTTTTTAATGTTAGTCTTCTACTCTAGTAAATATCTTTGTATTTAGCCTGCACTGTCCCTTTGCTTTTAAATTGTAAATTTCCCAGCTGTGGGATGAATAAACGATTTGTGATTCTGATGCCTATTTATTTTCCTTTTAAGTTCTGGTAGAACATAATAAATGATAATATTTGATAACACTTTCAGCATAGATTCATATTTAGTACATTCAGCAGTATTCTTTATCAAAAAGTGTGCAGCAGGCAGGTGCTGAGGTATTAACAGTGTGTCCAGGGCGTGATAGTGTGGAGAGGGTTTGTTGTGATGAGGCGGTGCCAGCTGTCACGTTGATCTCCTCATGGCACCAGGAGCCTGCTGAGTGCGCCATGCACATCTAGCTCATCCAGCTAAAGGCGGCTGCACCTGTCTGCTGCAGGCTATAAGCACTGATCACAAACATACCTTCTCTTAAACGCTGATTATCAGAAAGTAGGCCTACATTTTGTTGCAACATCAAACGTTGTATTAACACAGGATTAATCCTTAATTTTGTCACTTTAGGGCAATAGAATAATATCTCTTTACACTCTAAAATGTCTTCAAAACCACTACTACATAACAAATTCTCATTAACAATGTTCTTCTATAAAATAATAGGATAATGAAGTGGGCATAGAGTTTGATTATGTACTAACAATTGTAACAAACTAAATTAGACCTGAATTAGACTATTACAGTCCTATAACAGCTTAATGAGTTTAAATCTAATTACACTGATACACAAACAGTTCATAAATGTCATAGGTAAACAGTACTTTGAGTTACAATAGTCTGTGAATTGAAACTCAAAGTACGTGAAGACGGACCTTTTTTTAACTGTCAAATTGAGAGCCGCAGAAGGAAGGTAACCTAGTTTGGATTAATGACCTACTGAAGCTAGAATGATCGTTTTTGTAAAGCTGTAAGAAATTACATCTATCACAGAAGGAAATATAATGTGGTTGGAGAATTATTTGTTAAGTCTATTGCTGAAAGCCAGATGAGAACCAGGAATTCCTGAGTAAATTAAATATAAATAGGATGGTATAGGAAAACAACGATGGAAAGCCCCTTGAAGAAAGTCTAATTAGATTATAATAAAATCACGCCAATGGCACCTTTGTTTTTGTTCAATCATTTTGTAACCATAATTGTATCAGCATAAAGCTAAAAAAAGTCTATATTCAGTTTTTTATATTTACTGATAAAATGTTAATTGAATTAATTGGACACAAGCTTGAGCTGCTCATAAATGTTTCTGTAATAAATGAGTCCAATGACAAAGATATTTGATTGGTAATGTTGTTAAAGGTGTTACAATAAGCCATTTCCAAAATACATTTCAGTTGAGCAAATTCTCTTTATGTGATATAAGCTGTATTTATAATATATTGTCAGTCTTTCAAAAAAAGTCAGTTTCTAAATTGAAAAACATATATGATCAGTCGGTGATGCGATAAAATCAAAATAGTTCAAGTTAAACTAAAACTGTGCAACCTGTTGATGCTCAACATGCCAACATATTTCCTCATTATAAGATAAGAGCACTTCCTGATTTGTAGACTACAGATAAGATTTAATTTTCCATCAATTTCCTGTGAAGCTCTTCATTCATCTGACTGAAGCATTTTATTGTCAATTGTGTTTTGGTCTTTGCCTGGACTTCCAAATCAATGCAGATACTCTTTCACACTCGGCAACAGATTATTTTACACACTTGTTTATTTAAATAGACTCCAACAATGGAATGTTTCATTTCAGACACAAACCATCTATTAATATAAAAGTTCAGTTTGGTCAAGCAGCACTCCACAATGATATCTATTAGATTTCTCTATTTTCCCCTCACATATGCTCAGACACGCAACAGTCGTTCTCTAGTGGGTCTTTACAAAGTGACGTAACAATCATTTGCGTGCTACAGAAAATATCAGTGCTTTAGGACTAAATGAATGAAAGGAAGATTACATAATTCAGTGCAGAGAATAATATCTAATTTAACCAACGTTTCTCCCAAAATCCTATACATTTGGTTCAACTGTACGATGTGACTTCATATCACTTCTATTCATACAGTACAACATGGAGCCAGCTTCAGAGGGAAGCAGTCACATGATTGGCTCCTTCTCAACAGTGGGTCTATATCAAAATGTATAATTGTAGAAAAGTTACTAAGAGGTCAGTATGTACTCCTAACAAATGTAAATGTCTCCTCAGAAACCTTTCTAATCGTAAGAACCTTTCAATGAAGACAAGTTGTACTTGAGATTGCAAAATATTGTGAAAGTGATTATGAAACTTTGCAAAAAATATGTTGACCTCTTCGGGATTGTTGACAAGTGGTGTGTGTCTCCATATTTCAAATACAAAATAGAAAATACATATCCCAAAATGTTAATTCTTATTGGGACAATCCTGTCATGTAAGTATTTATGTTCCTATCAGCCGAAAGCTAAATGTGTTAAAAAAAAAACACAAAGGTTTTGTCCTCATATGACATGAGTTTGCTGGAGCACCACTGATGATACACATCCCATTACAAGGCTACTTGGGAGGATTACACCCCCAGGAACAATGGCTGACCTTTGGCATGGTGTTAGTATGATACAAGGCAGAAGGCATTTGGGGTAGTAAAGCTGAATTCAGTATTTTCATCTCCTAAACCCACAGGACTCGCTTCTCAGGTCCCGAGGCACTTGGGGCACACTCCGCCAACACAGACACATCCACACTACAGTCCGCGAGTAACATACTCAAATAACTTTCACTTCACCCAGACACTCAGAAGCACACATGTTGTAGAAACACTTATTGTAGGAGTCTCTGGTGAAGTATACAGTCAGACATTGACCTAAATACATACTGAAGACATCATTTGGCATTCTCCTGTCCAACGTGACGTGCACTGACAGGAGTGCCCAGGCACTGGTGAAACTGGCCCCAAGGGCCCTCAGGCAGGCTGCTGGGGATTGATGTTCATGTGAGGAGGATGACCAAGAAGACCAATCCGTTGCTTCTGCTTCCTCTGCTCCGTCATCTGCACAGGGAAAACGAAAAATGGTAGTTGACTACAAATTAGCAGACATGCATAAAAATCAATGCAAAATGTCAAATAGACAAAAAAGGATTTGTTGTGGTTTTACAGGGTTTTTACATTAGGTAGCTTTATGGTGGTTGGTAGGCGCAATTTCCCATTCTTCAAGCTAAGCTACGCTAACTGGTTGCTGGAAGGAGCTTTCAATTTACAGAGAGGTATCGATCGCCACATCCTAATAATGTAATACTCAAATAATTATTGTGGTGGTAATGTAATGGTAATTGTATTGATATTTATAAAAATGTAACTAGTCCTTAATAGCCTTTCCCGTATACTTGTTCATTAAACAGCTTTGTGGTTGTGAGTAACCACAGTACTAGGGTGTAGGTTGTCAAAACATTACCAAAGGCTAAATGAATCTGAAAAAAGGCAACCAGTTCAAATGTTAGTGTACAACAAACTGAGGGAGTGCATGATTTACTGTATACCTGCTCCTTGAGCTCAGTCAGCTGTCCTGACAGGTTGCACACCAGCCTCATGGTGGACTCCAGCTTCTCCTGCAGGTTCCTGATTTCATTTTGCTCCCCCTCTGCATCACTGCTCACCAGTGACATGGCTCGCATTCGTGGGAACCAGTCCAGGTTGTGCTCCTGTGGTCGACCAAGCACATACACCACTGACTTCAGTACATTTACTAGGAATTGTTAATGTTACGTCATGTCAATGAATGTATTGGTCATTTTAAACAGGAAGGTGCTTGTTTGGAAATCAAGGGCTTGAATCTGATTTCACAATGGCATCAGTCTGTTTTTGAAGAAAGATGCCTGCATGGTATATTGCCACAGGAGTAACAATGGGGAGTGAATTATCTTAGACTAAGCAAGTCCTGTACGACGAATGGAAATACCAGCGAACTGACCAATGATTACTTATCATTTGTTGATCAGTTTTAGGGTTACACAGCAACTCATGTACCGTCATCTACTATCTTCCTGTTTGCCTGCACAAGTCTGTTTGCGTGATTACATTTGATGAGCGGCATGTCTGTCAGTTGAGATAAGAAAAGAGGAACACATTAGTGTTCAAAGGTGTGTGAGACATGTCTGTACAGGTTTACCATTCTGACTCCAAAGCATTACCTAACATCGTTACTGTAACAGAAACGTGACACAAATGTAAAGGCCCATCTGATTGTTTATTCATTCTGCATTGTTGCACCAGAACAGCATCTCCAGAAGCAGCACAGGCACACAGAATGTCTATACAAATAAAAAATGTACAAGGACGAAATATAGAGCATCAAGCTGTGAAGTAACTAATGGCGCGTTTCCAC